TTAATACCGAGAAAAGTCTCGAGGAGCATCGCAGCAGCGACCGGTGCGACGCACAACACACACACACCGAACACAATGGGCTAAGTAGGGTAATTTTCATTGAATTATATTTCAATCAGAACCGGATGGTCGTATTAATGTTGCGCGCGCGCGGAGGAGATTGTAAATATCCCGATGGAATTCGCTCCGCTACATGTGTGTGTGTATACTTATAACCGGTATACATACATCTGTGTATGAGGTGCGCTTCGCCACCGCCGCCGCCGCCGCGGGGATAATGGATCGCGTCGATGCGTGTGTATATATATGTACGAGTCTGCCGCGCACTTGTAATGAGAGAAGAAAGTCGTATACAGTGCAATATACGTGTACGCATACTCGCGGGATCGAAGATTGATATTCCGCGTACGCGCCTACTATGATATTTTTCCGATCCGGCGCAGAAAATTTTCAATTAATAACGCGAGAGAGACGACACGATCGCGTACATATTATATATATCGTGTGCGAGACGCGCGATTACTCGTTGGAGCTTTCAGGAGGTTTTGATATTTCATACAAAATATGCATACTGCAGCATCATCTTTGGGCCAAACAACAATCGGCACACGCGCGCGCGAGCTCTCGACCGACTTCTACCTATCATATAATATATACAAATGCCGTGTAATCGCATTATTTTATTCAAAATCAAATCTCCCGAAGATCTCGAATCGTCTATTGTGCGCTTCTGCTCGTGTAGAGAAAGATGCAGCTTTTATGTACGCGTTTATATCGCCCCATTGTCCGAAACCATTTCATTATCATCGCATATGAGGTAGCTCTCGCGTGCACACACACACATCGCGTATGATGCAGCGGATTCTCGTCTACGATGAAAAAAAAAAATAATTTTTTTTCAAATAAACAATGCAGCGCGCGCGCGTGAACAACCCGCGCGCGAGCACGATGGTAATCACGACGTATCATTCGAGGCGTTCGAGCGGTGCGGGAGGCGGCAGGTATATAAGCAAAAATTGAAACCCGATACATTACGATAATGCATATATACGTTTCCTCGTTTATAATTCGCGCGAGAAATGGAAAGTACACCAAGATACGTTAGTTATATATATATACGAGATGCTCGTGCCGGAAAAGCTTCGAAACTTCTTCTCTTCTCGCGATCTCGTTTCTGGTTCGCGTGTGTGCCAGCGCGGCGCCTTATAAATGCGTGCGCACTGCTCCGTAGGTACGCGATGGTAAAAAACGCATGATGTATAATACCCGCGAGAGCGCCGCGCGCTCGAGTTTACATCGGGTTCGTTATCCGGCGCGTGATTATACTCGCACGCGTTGCGCAACGTGTTTAGTGGAAATAAAAAAGGTGCACGAAAAATCATCGCCCATCTGACGTAATCGGAATACGACGTTTGACCTTTGTCAGGCACGACGGCGACGTTTCGACGACGATAATGGAAGTCGACTCCCTTTCACGCAGCGAGAAAGTTGACGACGCATTGTCTACCTGCTGCACGAAGAGACGATCGATGAAATTTTAAGGACCTTTTCGCGGATAGTACTCGACGCAGTTTACGCAATTGCCCGTAGTGCATTATAGCCGGCAACGATCCGCAGTCGTCTACGCACCTTGTAGAAAAGCTCATTGTATTTTATATATTATGGGCAGTAAACGACGACGGTGCGTGCTTGCGTATTGTATCGAAACTTTCTCAAACCTGTGTCGCCGCTGCTGCTGCTGCTCCTTTATCTATCTCGACTATTTTCTTGCGCAATTCGTCCTTTTTGCTTTTTAAGTTCGATGTAATATACGATTCGGTGTAACTTTTTTACACACATTATTATCAGCTTGAATAAATAATGAAGGATACATCCGATGTGGCAGGACATTGTTAATTGCGAAAATAATCTCTTCGTCGACACGTGCGAGTTTCCTTTAGTCACCGAATCCAATGAATATGCAATTTGGTATATTTTACTTGGAGTAATTAACAGTAGAAAAATAAAAATTCATTGTTTTTTTTCGAATCAATTTATTTAATTCATAAAAAAAATAGGTTGAGATTAAACAATACCAGACATTCAAAAATACTACATATTTATCATACATGTTCTTCTCAAAGTATTGAGGCTGCCAAGCAAATATGATAAAAATTTTCGTTCGTCAGATCCTCAAGGATCATTTCACAGATCTCAAGTGGTAATCGTTTGTGTATCAACTCCCAGAACGAATACACTGCGCAACGCCGAAAAAATCCTCTCGACATTGTCTCGCACAGATGCACTGCACAAGCCTGGCTCGCTCGGAATGACCAGCTTTCAATCCACGTTTGCGTAAACTTGTAATAGTCCGCGTATGTGAGCTGTTTCGCCGCCTCTTCGGGTCTCAACTGAATTAAATCGTAGACCGACATCTGCTCTTTTATCATCGTCTTTTTCATGTGTTGCACGAAGTAATTTTCTACGGACAAATTTACGTTAGGATCCACTGACTTGACGAATAATCCCTCCTTGGCGAAAAATTTCATGATCGTCAAGACTTCACTTACATCCAGCTCGTATCCACTTTTCTCAAGACTTTCGACGATGAGCAGAGCTCCAGACGCCAGTCCCAATCTTTTAGTGAGATCAATTGAATTATGATGCGGTATATTCTTGGCGAAGTAACTCTCAGTAGGAAAAAAGAAGTTAGACAGATCAGCGCCACGATCCAAGAGTAAATCGACTATTTTTGGCTTAATATATGCCACGGCTAATTGCAGTGGTGTACGGTCATACACGTCCGGGACGTCAAATCGCACTAGCTGATTTTTTTCATCATTGATCTTGAAAAATGTCTCCGCCAATTCACCGTCATCCTGATGATGTTCGCAAATAAAGTGCAGAGGTGTCATTCCCTTTGCATCCGCCAAATTCGGATCTGCACCTCTTTCAAGCAGAATCTCGGTCGTCTCGTCGTCAGTACAGGACAGTGCAATGTGCAATAGTGTCCTACCAAACTTATTTTGAGCATCGATCTGCACCGTCTTCCCGATTTCGTCGATGACCTCGAAGTATAACTTAGCCAAGTCCTCGTCGTATGTTCTCGCAATAATGTTGTGCAGAGGAGTCTCTCCGTGGGCATTGGCTGAAGTCGGATCGGCGCCTCTTCTCAGCATCAGTTCGGCCAGTTTTTTGCCGGTGACGTAATGCAACGGTGTGCAACCCCACTTGTCCCGGGCGTTGATCTGCAGTGGCTGATGTTTTTCATCGATGAGCTCGAATAATAACGTTGCCAACTCATCATCGTCCTTACTATTATCGCAAATAAAGTGCAGAGGCGTCTCTCCCTGGGCATTGGCTAAAGTCGAATTTGCGCCTCTTCTTAGCAGCA